CAAGGGAGCCAAGGCTTACAATAGATACACAAAGATAAAAAAACAAACGTGGGTTCTTCGACCCCTGAAACTTCAACTCTTCCATTGGCTCCCTATCTTTCGAATTTGGAGGACCTGTACGTCAACTTTAGTGGGATCGACTCGAATAAGGATAATGTTTGGGCCTCATTCACCCAATCTAAATGCCAACGGGGAAGTATTTGAGTCCGAGTGGGACTCAACCAGTGAACAGATGCAATACCACAAACAGTGATGCATTAATATTAACTGTAATCTCAGCATACGATATTCCACAAAAAAATATAATTAATATTGATGAAGGTCATTCTTCAGGAACTGAATTTGACAGATTTTTATCACAAATAGAGAAGAAATATAGTCACAGAGCTAGCCTAATTAATCCTAACATTTTAACTCAATAAAATGATATAAGAATATCTTCAACCAATATAATGGTACTATACAAATCACTTTAACCAAAATTTTGTATAAAAATGGGCATTCTTACAAAAAAAACGACAGAAAGGGATGCACTTCATCTGACGAGGAGACCACTTCACCACTGGAATATGACTTCAAAATATTTAAGAAGCCGAACGGAGATGAGAGAAGGAAGATCAACAAGAGAAACTTCCCTCTACCTTATAACCTATATCCCTGAGTATCTCTATCTCTTTTGGATGGATAACCCTCTTAATCTCTTTTATAGTTTTGGCCACTTTCGGTTGTTTAGATTTCTCCCTCGACAAAAATCCTATTTTTTTGTGAATCAAATCCCAAAAAAAAAATCCCAAAAAAAAATTCCCCATTGGGTGAAACGGAAACGATTATTTATAAGAGATGATTAGGGTTTCGGATTTAGGGGGAAAAGAGAAAGGGTATAATCGTATTAGGACTCGGGGGTTTGAATTTCAACCCAAATCTTATCAAAAAATTTTAATATTCTCGAATGATTCCCCCAGCTGAACGAATAGAAATTGGGATGGACGACTGGAATTGACTTCTTCACCCTTGGATCCGACGTGTCTTCATCCTAAGGTTGCAAGGACGAAAACGAAAGGCATGATTACTTTTCCTTGCCACTTCATACGGGACGGAAGCGGGGAAAATAGAAGAGGGGCAACGTGACTTGCATCGCCTTTGGAACTGAGCTGCTTTTTGCGTTGAGGAAGAAAATAGCGTGTGGGTCGGAGCTACCTCATACTATCTAAGTTTCTTTCGGGTGGAAAATATGAATGGAACGGGGCGGGGCGGAAAGGTGTTGGTTTATTAGGGTTGATTCTAGGATGGGCTGGAATATTATTATTTGGGTGTTGAGAATTAAGGCTACTGATAAAAATGGGTTGGCATTAATTTAAGAAAAAAAGAAGGGAACTGGGGGTGGGCCGGATTTCTGAAAATAAAAAACTATTGGGCTGGGTATATGCTGTTTGGGCTGACTTGGGGCTGGGAAATGGGGTTGGGAGTTTAATTGGAAAAAAAGAGGTATTGGGTCAAACTTCTTATTAAGAAAATGATCCAAAATTGATTGAAGAAACTAGTTTAGTCAAATTGAGCTCAACTCAAGGATTTTGACTAAAGTTTAACGAAGACAAATTAATATAATTAATTAACGAGCTTCTTATTTTTTCACAAAATAAAATGATTAGCTTAATCAAAAATATTAAAAATTTAGTAATTAAACTGATTAACAAAGTATTTAACAAATATTTTTTAGACGATTTTAAAATACTTATAAAATAAGCTAATTATATAAAGGACATATAAACTATATTAAAATTATAGAATCTACTAAAATTACTTTGAAATGACTTGAAAAATATTTTGAAATTTATAAAAATAATTATTTCAAAACGCTCAAAATTTAAGAGATTCGTGAATTAAATTGTCGGGGAGGGTCAAAATTGAGTGTCAACAGTGGGCTATGACCCATGAATGACCAAAGAGAGGTACTTAGATTAGGTAGTAGAATGGGATGCTACCTTGCCTTGCACATGTATACTTGCTAATGGCTTGGGAAGAAGTTCACTTTAGCATGAATGACTAATGGTTGAAGTATGAATCTATCTATTATTTATGCAAATTGTTATGATATGATGCTTATATTATGATTATGTCTATTAAAGAAAAGTTTTTAAATTCCCTCCATTTTATATGATGTTATGTAATGGAGATAAGGAGCTTGTATAACACCTTTACGAGGTCAAGTACACCATGTGACGCCTAGGGGGTACTCCCAGGTCGTTACACAAAAAGTGCCCTTAATGCCAAAATCAATTCCTGATGATCTGCTTATTAAAAATGAATTCCGTAAAGTCACAAAGATTACTTAATTAGTTATGTCATCGATTATGTAATCAAATCCATATTTACTCCCCCCCCCCCCCGGATTGCTATAAGATTTCCCTACAGCTTAAAGACTTCAAATTCTTCTAAGTCTTAACGAGGTTTGGAACATCGTAGTAATATGAAAAAGTTTTTCTGGCTCCCATCTTTCCCCATTAGTATTTCCATAACAATGAAATTTGTTGTTACAATCGATAACAATTTACTCATTGCTCATCCCCGAGAGATCAACTAAGAAAAGGTAGGCTAGAAAAGAAACAAGGAAGTACCCGATTCAACGAATAATTGTGGATACTTGTCTCGCATATACTTCTTGGTCTCCCATGTAGCTTCCTCAACCGGATGATGTTTTCATTGAACCTTAAAGGACTTAATCTCCTTGGTCCTCAACTACGAATATCATGATCAAGAATAGCTATCGGTTCCTCCTCATATTGGGGCTCCTTTTCTAGAACTATTGAGTCTCAATTAACGATATAGTCACCATCATGATGATATCTTTGCCAAATAGACACATGAAATACAAGATGTACAACGGATAAATTAGGGGGTAACTGCAATCTATACGCTACCGATACTACACGTTCAAAGATCCCAAATAGACTAATATAATGGGGGCTCAACTTACCTCTCTTACCAAATCTCATCACCCCATTCATGGGTGATACCTTGAGAAGATTATTCTCACCCGTCTAGAATTCCATGTCTCTCACCTTTTGATTCGTGTACTTCTTTTGTCTACTCTACATGGTTGGAAGTATAGCATGAATGTTCCACACCTTATTTTGAGCATCCTTCATTAAGTCAACTCCCAGAGGTTTGACATCTCCAAATTCAAACCAACCTATAGGCAATCTACATCTCCTCCCATATAACGCCTCAAATGGCATCATATAAATGCTCGATGATAACTATTATTATAGGAGAACTAACATAGGGGTAGAAACTTATCCCAGTGTCCGCCAACGTCAATTACACAAGCTCTCAAATTATCCTCCAACACTTGTATAGACCTCTATGATTATCCATACGTCTAGGGATGGAAGGTTGTACTAAATGTGAGTTGTGTGACCAATTCATCATGCAACTTCCTCCAAAAATTATAAGTGAAAAGGGTGCCATGATATGAGATTATGGTAAGGGGAACACCATGCAGCCTCACTATCTCCTTTACATAAATCCTAGCCAAATGTTCAGCGTTGTAATCCACCCTTACCGGTATGAAATAGGCTGACTTAGTCAACCTATCAACTACAAAACAAGTAGAATCAAATTTCCCCAAAGTCTTGGGAAGACCAACCACAAAATCCATGGCTATGCTTTTCCACTTCCATACCGTAATTGACATCTTTTGAACTAGGCCCGCAGGCCTTTGATTTTCATACTTCACTTGTTGACAATTCTTTCACTTTACAATAAAATTCTCAATGTCTTTTCTCATTCTCGACCTCCAATAAAATCATTTCAGATCTCTATACATCTTGGTTACACCTGGGAGAATGGAATAGCGTGAGCTATGAGCCTCAGCCAACAACCTTCTAATCAAATCATCAACTCTTGGAACACACATTCTACCCTTATAGTTTAGCACACCATTAGCATCTATAGTGATTCCTTGAGATTTACCTATTGCAATCTTTGTTCTATGATCATCTATATCTCCATCTTCAAATTGCTTGGACTTGATTTCCTCTATGAAGATGGACTTAGCTTCAACGCTAGCTAACAACCCACCTCTTTCAAAAATGCGCAATTTGCATGAACTTAGACTCTAAGGTCTGAATATCCTTGGGAAACACTCGCTTGATTCCACTCAAGTGAGCTAAACTACCCATAATATAATTTTTCGAATCAAAGCGTCTGCCAAACCATTAGGCTTACTCGGATGGTACTGGATAGTCACTTCATAATTCTTGAGTAATTCCATCCATCTTTGTTGTCTCAAATTCAAATACTTTTCGGTGAATACATGTTGTACTCAATTTTATTTACTGTCTCTGTATGATGTTTTGACATAATCATTAAAAACCCAATTGCACTTTATTTGACAAGTGATTGATTATAAACCTTTTTGGATAATGCACAAGTACACCCCCTCAACCTATGCCCGAAATCTCATAGACAGATTTATACTATACTAAGGTCCAATTACCCCCCCTCCCCTGAACTTATTTTATTAATAATTTTCTACCCCTTTCAGGCCTACATGACACAATCTTGTGGGCCCAACGGTGGTTGACTTTTTTTTCAAAATAGTGTCATGTAGGCCGAAAAGGGGTAGAAAATTACTTATAAAATAAGTTCGGGGGGGTTAATAGGACCTTAGTATAGTATAAGTGTGTCTCTCGGATTTTAAGCATAGGTTGAGGGGGTATTTGTGCATTTTCCCTAAACCTTTTCAAATTGTGTTTTAATTTTATGATATCGAGTTTCACTAAATCCACTGTTAATTTTTGAAACTATTGTTTGCTATTGTTAACAGTCAACTTTAATAAAAATTGGTTACTTGAGTTCAAAAAAACCCAATATTTATTTTTTGTAATTCACTACTTTTGGAAATATTAACTACAATTGAATTTAAGTACCGCTATGTTTATTTCTGATGGATTTTATTTTTTAAATTTCATTAGATCTTCTAAATTTAAAATGGATATTAACGTTAATGATTACATTTTTTTGGGTTAAAAATTAGACTGACCTGATTTATTTATTATATAAACGAAGTTATATACAATATCCTTAGCCCAAAGTTCTAAGCCCATAAAAATTAGGAAAGAACAAAAAAAAGAAAAAAGAAACCAAGTGACAAACATAGATGGAAAAAGAAGTATAAAAGTGATAAAAACAATGCTCCTTCTAGCTTCTGGTAACATCTTCTCCTTCCCTCTTTCCACAGTGTGCGTGAAGATTCTCCTAAGATCGATACCAGACACTCATCATCAGTGGAGAGAAGGGGTATTTCCAAGCTCGATTTGATGTGTACCTCTGAGTTGATATATTCTTTTTGACAAGTTTGATACTGATTTTTCTCGCTTTTTATGTTTCTAGGTGAACGAACATCAGATGAATGATTCTTCTGTCAACAAGAGTAAGTTATACCTTTTTAATTAGATCTATTTCGGTGGGTTAAATTTACAAAGAGATTGATACCACCACCTGAGCTTGGATGTCTAAAATTAGGTATTGACTTATTAAACTTTTTAAAGATTTGACACAAGATACATTCATGTAATCAACTTAGCATCTACCTCGAACATGAAACTAATTGGGTAAACAAAACTTTATGATATTATTTTACCTTGAATTGTTGAAGATAACTCACTAAAAGATAGCCTAGACATATACAAGCTAATCCTAATTATCATGCTCTTATATCATATGTGTAACCTCAAGCTGTCATCAACTACATGATATGTTATCAAATGAATCTAATTCAAACAGAAGTGGTAGAAAACCTACATATGTTCGAATGCTAGAAATATTTTAGAAGTTATAGATAAAATTTAACACATTTATAACAAAGCATATTAGACTGCTCTATTCTCAAATGAGGATTAGTCTGACCTTGAGTTCGTTGTTTTATGAAATTTATTTATTTAATTGTTTTAGTCAACTTTATTTAGTGTCCCTTTGTGGAGTTTTCCATAATTATTAAAAATTCTTTTGCACTTTATGTGAAAAATGATTTTCGTGCAAACTTATTCAAATTGTGTTTTAATATTATGATATTTGGTTTGCCTTGTTATTCGTCCATTTTTATTTTTTTTTGGAACTAATATTGTTTGTTGCCTTTTTTCTGTTCTCTTATAAAGAATTGAGATTTAATAGAGGCTAATATTTATTATGTTTATTCGTGTTGTGCAGACCAATAATATTGATAAAGCCATTTGATTCTCATTATCTTCAACAACGAAGGCGTTGAATGATTTGAAGGGGATGTTCAACTATAGTTTTCCATTCTCTTGAATATTTTTTTAGTTGTCGTGGTCAATATTATTCAGTTTCCCTATGTAGAGTTTTTAACACAATTATTTAAAAAATCATTTTCACTTCGTTTGCGAATAGTTTTCTTGTGAACCTTTTCATGAATTTATTTTACAATTTTCATAAAGTATTTTAAGTTTAAAGTGGATGTTAATATCTTAAATGATTAGTGTTACCTTCATATATTTGTTCAACTATTTATTTGTAGTGGTCAACTTTATTTGGTGTCCCAATATGGATTTTTGGCATAATTATTAAAATTCTCCTGCACTTTATAAGATACATTATCATTACAATTAAAGATACATTTAGTCGCAATAGATTTTCTTATTCCCGCAATAACACTGAGTGGAAATTGAGTTAATGATATTGCATTTAGAGTCAGTAAAGCCTTTAGAGGCATTGAGATAGAGTGTCACTTATAAATGTCATATTTATTATTGTTGCTAAATATGATATAACAGAAATTATATTTTTCCATTAAATAATTGTCGCTAAGTATTTTTTGTCTTGTATAGTATTAAAACTAAAAGGATTTCTATGATATACTTTGTTTTTGTCACGTTTCAATTCGTAACATCTTTATCTTTACTCTAGATCCTTGTCTACTCCTACTTTCATCGAGCTTATTATTACATCCTTGTGTATGACTACTCCTACTTTCATCGAGCTTATTATTACATCCTTGTGTATGACTTGTGTAGAAACTTAAGTTTACTCATAGATTCCACTTGTTTTGGGCCTTCTTTTATGTCTCCCTTTTAGCACGCACCTTACATATTCAATCTCTTATATGAAGAAGATGCGATCAAATTAATTTGTAAGGTCGTGTTTGAGTGAGTTTTATAAACACTAACACTACATTTCATTGTTCATTTTCAGGTTGATTGAGAAATTTCCTAAATTTAATGGTCATTGAGTTGTTTAAATATTTAGATAAACATAATTTCTTATGAATTATTGGATGGACAGATACAATTCTAATATGGAAAATAGTTCCTTCAACCAAAATGAGAATGGTATGAACTTAGCTCCAACTAATATACCTTCAAAAGTTCCTGATGGCGCTAAGAAAAATGGAATTGATTTAAATGAACGAAGCAATAATACAAGAGGAGGTATTTCCATGTCTGGAACTTCTCGTACTATAAGTGAATTTGTTAGAGGCGTGGCTAGTAGAGACCTCATAATATCAGAAAGTCTTCTGAATAATACTAGAAGCTCTCTTCAAATGTAAAACTCATGAATTACTCCAACAACTTCATTTTCTCACACTACAATCTTTAATGGAAATTCTTGTTCTATGAGTGATTTTGTAAGTGATGTCACAATTCCTGGTCTCATAACATCAAAAAGTCTTCTAAATAATGGTAGAAACTCTCTCTCCGAACTCACAATGTATGGACTGATCCAATAATCTCATTTGCTCAGTGTGCATACTTTCATGGAGATTTTGGTACTGTGAGTGACTTTGTAAGTGGTGTCTCAAATACTGACCTAATACTATCTGAAAGTTTTCCAAATAATGCTGAAAGCTATCTTCAAATGTAAAATTTATGGTATGCACCCAGAACTTCATTTTCTCAAAGTAGACACTTTCAAGGAGCTTCAGATATGGCACTTCAGGAAAATAGTAAACATCCAATGTTCATTAAGGAAAATAGAGGTTTTCATGGCGGTAGTTCATCTGCTTCAACAAATCAATCTAATGCTTTTATTCACCCTTTTGGTGGTCCAAATAGATATTTTTGAGAAAATGGAATACGGGACAGAGGCAATGATGCTAATTTCTTGAGAAATATTATTGATACTCCACCACATTCTCTTGGTATTGGGAAAAATGTCGCGATTAGTTTTTCTTTCATGACATTAATTTTCTCTTTGTTGATAGTATCTTCTTTGGTTTTTTCCTTTGGCGTATCTCAATCACACTCTTTTTTTACAATTTGTTTGGATGTTTTACCAATTCACTTGGAGATGTAGGGGTGGTAGTTCCAGGGACCCAGGTCACAGGGATAATCCTATTATTATCAAGGTATACAGTTCTTATACTATATCTATTCTGATTTCAGTTGTCATTTCGACTTCTTATAATTTTACCATCGAATTTTTTAATAGTAATATTATATGAAAATGATGTAGCCTATGATTTCCACTTGTCACTAAATGATTTCCCTGATCCATATTACGCTTGCATGCGTAGCTCAAATTTATTTGTCCAAGTATGTCAAGATATGTCTATTCTCTTAATTTCCATTTATTATTGTTGCCAAAGGTAATCTTCATATGTTGGCTATGTTATTTCTTTTCATACATACCTTTCACATAATTTTTTGTTATGATGGTAAGCAAAATGAGTCTTGCTACTTTCTACTCACATGATGATGAAGAAGATGAACATGACGATGCTCAACAAGATAGTATGTTCTATGATGTATACATGTCGTATGAGGTAATACACAGAGGCACAATGGATGAACATGTGATATGATTAGAGTAATCAATCCAATATTTTCTCAAATAACAGATGATTTGTATTTTAGGCGTTTTTGGCACTCCAAGAGCATATAGTTGGCGTTGAAATTGGATTAAACAAGAGTGTTATTTCGCAACTTCTGAAGCATAGTTGGTATCATTCAATCAAGTCGAAAAATTGTAGTAATTCTAGCTGCATTTTCTTTGTAAGGCACACAACTTTTTGTTTCTTTCCGAATCACTTTTAAGTTTTTTTGCAACCTTGTCCAGTTTTGTTCTTTCCTGTTTTGGCATGTATAGGAAACTTATGAAGATGTGGAAGTAATAGGAAAAATTTATTTTGGACATGAATTTAGTTATCAATGCGTCGAGGAGTGTCTGGAGATCAAGAATTCGTGTCCAGTTTGCAGAAGGATTGCTTTGACTTCAGCTAGTAATCTTTGGCTCTCACTTTTACCAACCAATTTCTCAAGCTTTTTTTTAATTGACAATGTACAAGATGGTGGAGTTAAATTCCTTAATGATAAACTATGATGAATTTCAGTTTTTACCAAAGTGGTTATAATTTTATCAACTTATGGGACTTCTAGCTGCTTTAATTTCTCTACCAATCTTGATGGTACATCAAACAAGTACTAACATTATTAGTTTTGACAGTTGATTGAATTATAAAACTATGATTGATCATTTTCCTGATAGTTGAAGATGAAAGTGTGTCGTGAATGAATATTGTGAGTTCTTGTTCTATATTTGAGTGAAGATGAAAATAATTAATTCTAGAGATTTCTAACTATTATGTGTCTCAAATGACTTACCTAGTAGTGCAACAAAAACTCATTGATGTCATTCAAAGTACCTGTCAATTCCTGAATCAATAGAGATATTTGAAAAAGAAATAATGTTCATGCCTAGTGTCATTTGTAGGAGACCTGTTGTCCCGGAAATCTGAGTTGTGGATGCTGACTTGCAAGGTTTCCTAGAAACTGACACCTTATTCAAACACCACAGTTCGAGTGGATGACCAATAATCCAGGATAGTTTTGCTGGCATTTAACCAAAGAATTCTACTCCTCATATGCTGCCGCACTACTGAATTTAGAGACCACCGAAAGATCAAAAAAGGGTAAGAAAGCAAAAGCATTGACGTTAGGCCCACTATAGGAGGTGGTTATTTGGGTTAATAGGTTGATATTTTGGAGACCACAATCAACACGTTTCTACATGGTCATGAATACTTTGCACCTACTATTGTAAGTTTAAAATATACAAGGAGAATACTATCTTTAGAGAATGTTCAAGTTTTATATAGGCTACTTAAGGCCGCTTGAGATGAATCATCAAATACATCACTAATTATACTACTCAAACTAGAAAACAAAATGTTCAGCACAATTAACTAGATACTTTATATCACAAATTAGTAGATACATATATTAGAAAATCCTAAAAGACTTCTTGATAAATTAAGAGATAATATCTAAATACTATACATCAAGGTGTGAATGCTTAATTCCAACACTCCTGCTGAATGCATTTGCTTGAAAACTCCAATGCCTTCTCGAAGATGACAAAAACTTTTCACTTGGAAGTGTTGTGGTGAAGATGTAATTTTGTTCTCATGTCTGACAATAATTGCAACTGAATTTCGTCTCTCTTATCTTTGTGAATATCTTTTTTTTTATTGAGTTTGGTTTTGCAAATCCACTTTAGACATACAAATTCTCTTTCTTTGGGTATCCTCAAAAACTCCCAAGTATTTTTTTTTCTCAATCTTACGAACTTTTTCTTCCAAGGCTTTTTTCCAAACATCAAGCTTTATTGTCTTCCCATAATTTTCTTTTGTAACACCGGAAAATTTACATCTTTGATAAATGTCATTCAACATTTTTGTTCCTCTTGGAAGTGGTACTTCATCATCTGAATCCAAGATTTCTCCTCCTGGAGGGACATCTTCTTCTTTCTCGTTCTCTTCTTGATTTGACACATCTAAAGATATGATAGAAATATTATCTACCTTATTCTTAATATATATTATTAGAAAGGTCTTGCACCATGTGTTTTTGCTTGAGAAGTATAAAACCATGAAAATTCAAGTGACAAAAATTTTCGTACCAAAGCTATGAATTATCCATAACTTTATTTTTGAATGCATAGTAATGAAATTGGAAAGAAAATTTTCTTTTATTATCTCTACTTTAATAATGACTTGATTTGGCTCATTTTATCATAAAATCCTGAAATAAGTATCTCTAAATACAATAGAATAACCATTTTCCATGAATTGACTAACACTAAGGAAATTGTTTTCCAATTGAGGAACATAAAACACATCATGAATTTTCTAACGGCTCCCGTTTATATTGATTGAAATAGTAAGTTTACTCTTTGCATCAACTAAGACTTCATTCCCCATACTCACTTTAGTAGTTATGCTACTATTAATTGAAAGGAAAACCTTTTCATTTCCATTCATGTGATCGTTACAACCACTATTAATATACCATTCATTGCTCTTTGTTGAAATATCATATTCAGAAGCAAAGAAAAGATGTTCTTCCATTACTTCCTCCTATTCTTCACAAAAATTTGTCTTCT